CTGCCCAGGGAAGTGGTTGAGTCCCCATCCCTGGAGGTATTTAAAAGACGTGTAGATGAGGCGCTTAGGGACATGGTTTAGTGGGCATGGTGGTGTTGGGTTGATGGTTGGACTCAATGATCTTAGAGGTCTTTTCCAACCTTAATGATTCTATGATTCTATGATTCTTGTGGTATGCTTTTTGCAGAAACATACAACAGGCTGCAACCCTCTAAAGTTGTTTATATTTGAAATGATGAAGGAATGGCATAGAGAGGAGTTCCGGTGTTTGGCAGTGATGGCCGTGGCTTAAACATCACTGTGCTGTCATAAGACAGATGGGTGTTTCTATTCATTTCCAGAATTCCCTTGTCAATATCAAAGAATGAAGAGTTCTTCATCAGTGTGAAGACTCTCAGTTAAAACAATTTTGATAAGTCTAGGTGCCATATCTCTCTAGTGCCTTTTTGTACATGCTTCCATTTTAATAAGCCATATCAAGTCAGAAGTTCCTGCTTTTTTAGCTTTCCTGTTAAGGAATAAAAAGAATCATCAAAGGTGACTTGTTACCTACTTGCCTAATTGCACACTTTTTAGGTTGTGGTTCAGATAAATGCATTGGAGAGTAGAGAATAAACATGTATTCTGCTTGCTTCTTCAAGGGGGAAAAAAAATACTATGTGATTGCTGATGGTACCACACCTGGTGAAGCACCTGGTAGAAATTTAGATTGTGATGGCAAGGTTCATAGTCTCCGTGGGTTCACCTGTACACAATTAGCTTGTAGAAGGAATAGGGTTTTCCCTGGGGAAGCAGCATTAATAAAGAGGGACAAACAGAACTTACTTGGAGGAATCAGCCTGAAGTGGTGGTTACAAAAATTGGAAGGAAAGGATTTATATAGATATACTGGCAGCTTCTTTAGCATGACTTTTAAGAAATATATGGAAGTAGTAAGTTTTGTTAACCTAATCAGATAGACATCTGAGACCAGGGTTGTACATGCTACAAAAAAATAATGTGTGTTATACTCCATTGCTTGGGTGGGCTGAGAATTTTGGTTTTAGCTTCTTGGTCACAAATGGTTTGATAGTATTCTTTCTTTTTTTGAAGTTAGATTCTGTGCAGTCTGTTGCAGACCAGCCTGTAGGGATTTTGAAGGACTCCACCTCTAAGCTATAATACCACTTTTAAGCTATCAGGGCATTGTTGTCTTTATCTGCTGCTTTTGTATTTTCTACCGTCTCAGTTTTCAGAAGAGAGCTTTATTTCCTGATGATTCATTTGGAAGCATAGTGTGCATTGTGATGTAGTTTCTCCTATGTTGGCTAGCTGCTTTGTAGGCATTACTAGCTCACAGCTAACTTCTGTGTTCTCCAGGACGTTCGTGTCAGCAGGATTCAGTTTATATTCACAGCACAAGGACTCTCATTTAACCTTTGTGCCTGATAGTTGTTTGGTTTTTATTTGTCATCTAGATAGTGAAGCGTTGAATAGAAGGAAATAGGTGCATAAGGCATAATTGTAATCAGAAAGCAATGCACTTTCCTTTGAGAACTCTTCCAGTGTGGGTCCTCTCCGCAGGCTACAGTCCTTCAGGATAAACCTGCTCCACCGTGGGTCCTCCACAGGCAGCAGTTTCTGGCAGAAAACCTGCTCCTGTGTGGGCTTCTCTCCACTGGTTGCAGCTTCCTTCAGGGCACACACCCTGCTCCCCCCGTGCCTTCTTCACTGGTCTTGGTATCTTCAAGATTGTTTCTTACACTTTCTCCACCCTGCCAACTGCTGAGCAGCTTTTTTTTTTTTTAACCCTTTCGAAACATGTTTTCACAGGGGTGCTACCAGCTTCACTGATTGGCTCAGCTTTTTATGTCTGCCATGGGGCAGCTTCTGGTCTCTTATCACAGAGGCCCCCTCTGCCTCCTTACAAAATTGTTGCCGTGTTAACCCAGTAGATGAACCTTTGTTTGTAAAGTGATCCTCTTACACTAATGGCAGGCAGAGAGTGTGCAGAGGTGAGTGATAAGGGTGTGACTTAAAGAAGGAAAAGGCTGTATATGATTTTTTTTCTTGCTTTTGTCTTTCCCTTATTCCCTCTCCCACCCTCAGCTGGCTACATATTTGCATAGAGGCTGATGGCTCCAGTTATCTCGGTGTCCACTAGTGTATTTTACAGCTATAAGATGATTTCTGGTATAGCTAACACGTCAAAGACATGTAGATAATTATCCAGGTTAACAGGTATCCAGGTTAACAGGTAACAGGTAACCTAAAACCACGGAAAATCAGCTTGCAGGTTCTCTCCAAAGTTATATGGATTAGTTATGTGAGAAATACCTACCGGCATGAGGCCTGTAAAATTATTTTGCAGGCCCGCACCTAAAAATACTTAGGGCTGGCTCTGATCTTCCTGTAATTTTTTGGTTATGTAATAAAGAGTCATTAAAAAAAAATAGTGATACTCTCACTGACTGCTACTTAAGCAAAATTGTTCCTAAATATACTCTCTACATAATTTGCTGTTAAGTACACACCTTGTGTTAAAATGTAGTATTCTACATTTACATTCTACATATTGTGAAGAACTGCATTCCACTTCTTTCATGTGTGTTCACGTAGGGAATTTTCTTATTTGTGTCAAGTAGAAATGGATATTTTCCAAAAGAACTGTTCTTTTTTTAATCATTACTTGCTTTGAACTATGCTGACAGGAATTAGAGTTCTATCTTCTTGGCTGTTCAGACCTTTTTTTTTTTACTGACTTTTCTGGTATTGTGATACTTATCTACAAAATCATAGAATCATATTTGGCTTATAATTTTAAGATTTATAGTTTTAAAATTACTGACAAACATTTGGAAAACATCATGATAACCTTCCTGTTCTAGATCTTCAGAGACCAAAAGTTCGGTATTCTTTTTGTATGGAGTCTTTGGCACATCTTGCTTTCCTGGGGAGGGGGGAAGTGAACAAGGAAGTCTTGAGGTTTCAAAATAAATATAATAAACCTTATGCAAAAATGTATATATTATATGCATACACTTTATCTGTAAAACTTCAACATGATGAACAAGGTCTTATGCAGGTTTTGCTTTTTGAAATTGAAAACTGTCTAATTACAGACTTGAGCTTTGGTTTTCTTTCCATTTAATTTCAACCGAATTATGTGGCTCAGTCCTGTACTCTATAACAGGTCGACCTGTATCTTTACAAGCTACTAATACTGCATCCACACTAGCATCACCTTTGGTCGTTTTGATGACCAATTAGAGCGTAAGTCAATCTTTGAGGAAACTGTTGGATGTCAATTTTCTTTTTAGAGTTCTACTTCGTTGCTGGTTTGTGACAAATGGTTTGAAAGCACTATACGCAATACCTCTGGGTCTGCCACTACATGGACATGATTCAGAAAGAACGTGAAAAGGCAGCATACAGTAAGTAAAAAATCAAAACACAATCATTTTTGTAGCATGCGTACCAGTTCCTATTTTGTAACTGAGCACTGCTTGATGCGAATCACCTTACAGTTGCAGCCTCATTGCTCTGCTGTTTCTGGACGTCTGTGGAAATCTTACTGGAGGGGAGAAGGATTTCTGCTTTTATCCAAGGCAGAATAGCTGGACTATATGGAGTAACAGTGAGTATGGCTTTGAAGAAAGCTTAAGCAGATAGTCATAATTGACATACACTCAGCAGGATGTTATTTACTACCTGATGTTTTACACAAAAGCTGAACTCTGCTGATAAGGTATAATGAGTTTCCTAAATCACATTTTGTATAATACAGCAAAATAGGGGGACAAGGCGTTACTCACCTTATGCAGATTGCTGAAGAGACAGGCAAATAAGTGGGACGATGCTGGTAAAGGTGTGTAGAAAAAAAATCCTTTAAACTCTTAAAACTGACACTGTTTCTGACTGTGGTGCCCAATGCTGGAAACTGGACTGTATCCTGGGGGAAGAAAATAACCGGATTTTTCTTGAAGGATGTAACACAAAGAAAACACAGTGATACTGGGGATGATAAATACATTACCTCATGCCTCATTGTTTCTAGAAAAGCATTGCTTCATACAGCATGGGAAATATAAGCAAAACAGCAAACAAAACTCTTTTAGATAAATGATAGAGGAGTTCAGGGCCATAGGAATAAAGAACCAAAAAGAATGAAATTAATTTTGTACATTTCCCACAATGGAGTACCCATGATAACTAACCTACTGAAGAGATTATTCCTTAACAGATAAAGGACTTCCTGAAATAGACAGAAGTGTTACTGAGAGAGTTTTTATCTGAACAAAAAATAACCTTAAAAGCATGTTAGCTTTGTTTCTTGCCTTGTTGGCAGCTGTCTAAATGGTATTCTGAACTTTAGGTGTTTCTCTTCTGTGGTAGAATTGTATTAATTTATCAACGTTCTGTGCGGTTTGTTTTGGTCATAAATAAAGAGTCTGCCATCATGATATCTATGCACAGAGTGAAGGCTAACGTACAGATTGTGTCCAAAGCTTCTGTGTAATGTAATATGTTTCTTTCATGTCTCTGTGGCTGCCCAGAGATGCATCTGAATATGTTTAGAGGTACAGTTAATCTCATTGCATTTGAATGTTCCACAGCTGGATAAGAATACTTGGAGCAGGGAGTTTATCCAATTGGTGAATAGGTATGTCCTGGGCTTAGTGAGTCCAGTAAATTTTCCTTCAATGCCTGTAGGATTCATGCAGAGCACCTTACCTTCACACTCGTGAAATGCAGTATAAGCAAAGCCACAAGAGGAATCAGCAGGGGAAAGGTGATTGTTACTGTAGAACTGTTGTTGTGGGCTATTCGGTTCTATCTGAGGTTCCTGCAGTGTGCTGTCCTTGTTTTGGCTGCTCTGCTGCAAAGAAACCCAAGTATTTCATAGTAGTTTGAGTGTCCCTGCCTTCTCTGCCATACATGCTGCTACACAGCAATGGTCAAATATAAAATTGCTTTGTAGGGGGTGAAAAAAGCAGTTGTGGGGGAGTGTTGTACTACTTTGTCCTTATTTCAGGTGATCTATTTGCTTACTATTTTTTGCCCTTTAAAAATCTCCTATACACTTGACATTTTTGCTTCCCCTCATGCAAAGCTAGAAGAAATATTAGCTGCACTTATTTCATGTCAGAGAAAATCCTTAAGATTTTTACTGGTTATTATGTCATTCCTTCCATGTTCATAGTATGTCTCCATAGTATTTCTCTGTCCATGGACATTGTTCCATACTGCTGTGAACTAACTCCAGGGAAAAAGATAGCAATAGCATAAGATAAATTTTCTGTACAGTAGGTAAGCAACTGAGGACTAGAACCACTAAGGTATTTGAGCATCTGTCGTGGTTTGACCCCAGCCAGCAACTAAGCACCACACAGCTGCTTGCTCAGTCCTATCTGGTGGGAAGGGGGAGAGAATCAGAAGAGTAAAAAACTCGTGGGCTGAGATAAAGACAGTTTAATAGGTAAAAGGTAAACCGCGCACACAAGCAAAACAAAACAAGGAATTCATTCACCACTTCCCCTCGGCAGGCAGGCGTTCAGCCATCTCCAGGAAAGCAGGGCTCCATCACATGTAACAGTTACTGGGGAAGACAAACACCATCACTCCAAACGTCCCCCCCTTCCTCCTTCTTCCCCCAGCTTTATATGCTGAGCATGATGTCATATGGT